AGATTAATATCAAAATTTATTATCAATTTTTCATTGTTTTGTATTAAAAATAAAATAAAATTAAATTAAATTAAAAAATCTTTAAAATTTTTTTAAAAAGAATTGATGAAGAACATATATTTAAATTATTTTATAAAGAATAATTATATAATAAAAATATAATGTAAATACATGTAATGTAAATACATATTGCTATATATATTTATTTGGCGAATGTAATGATACATATGTATATTATTTCCATGGAGATTGCGACTGTGTAAAAATGGAGATTGATCCAAAATTCACGTTTATACCATTGAATGAAAAAACCTACGTCGCGCTTAACGACAAGGACACAAAAGAATATCTGTGCAAATGGTAATTTTAATATTTTAGTTTTTTACGTTATTTCTTTAAAATTAATAATTAATTCTGTAATTATTGAATAAACAATGATAGGTTAAAAATCATATTTTAGGGGATTGAAAGGAAATTTTGTTATTCAGAATTTTTCGTTCAATCAACCGTTTCAACAATATCACAAATATCAATTGGTTGATGTAAGTTCATTTTCATATTAACGATGTATAAAAAATGATTTAGTACAATAATATAAGATGTTACAGAAGCTGCAAATAATGTTCAAAATTAAAGAATAATTCGTTTTCATTATTGAATCATTGTCAGAAATAGAAAGAATAAAGAATTAGAATAACATCTTTAAAAAAAAAAGATTTATAATTATTTATTTTTTATTTAGAGTATCCATAAAGATTAGAAGAAATATAAGGAAATGGTATAATTATGTATATAATAAATTTTTATAGATTTCGTAATTTTCTTTTTGGAGTTTATAAATTTGTAGGCTTTTTTTAAAGATGACATCGTTGCAAAAGCATTGTTGTCTAAACAAGGTTATAACTGGGTGAGGCAAGGTATTGTATCATTGATTAAAATATTTAGAAAGTATATATTTTCTAAATATTTTATATTAGCTTATAAATTTATCTGAAATAAAAGAAAAAACATTTTATCATTAGGCATACGAGCATCGAATGTGGAGACAAAGCAAATACCCTGCTCAGTTTTAAGCATGTCATTCTTTAATAAACTGAAGGATTCAAATAACGGAATTGTACATAATTCAGGAATGATCTGTAAAAGATATGATACACAAATAGAAGATTTTTTGGTGTCTGACAAACTGCGTGGTGTAAAATATTTTTATTAAAATAAACTGATTCTGTCTCTCTCTCTCTCTCTCTCTCTCTCT